ACATGAACTTTGAACAATTAACACATAGCTCTCTGAGAAAAAGCGTGTTGTATGGCACACGGGTGAGTTGGAACTATATTTCATCGTTTTTTTTTTAAATCTTCATGGAGAGGTTTCTTCTCTTCTGCAGCCCTATTTCCTAGTAAAACTAATCTTTTATTAGAGAAGATAGGCATTTATCTAACAGGACAGTTTGTAAACTTGATTAGAATTTTCTGTTTTTTTTTCTGTCATGCAACTTTTCTAAGATAAATGTGGAATCTTATTAAAACCAATTACAATCATCGACATTCTGCGTTGCCTGCAGATATGGTAATCAGCACTCAATGCCCAGCCAGCACCCGTTTTAACCCATGACTGTGAGTGAGTAGCGGCTGCTTTATTTACTCAACACATCAGAGCTTCTAAATGGCACAAAGTGTCCTGGGAACTGTCGCAGATGACGTGTTAATCTTTCTCACCATCATTCTTTCCCTCTCCTCCCTCTCTCCCTCTCTTTCTCTCTCCTCTCCCTCCCTCTCTCCCTCTCTCTTTCTCTCTCTCTCTCTCTCTCTCTATCTCTCTCTCTCTCTCTCTCTCTCTCTCTCTCTCTCTCTCTCTCTCTCTCTCTCTCTTCTCTCTCTCTCTCTCAGTCTCCCTCTCCCTCCTCTGCATCTCTGCTCAAATTTCTTTCAGTATTCAAATCACTCCCAGCTTGCTTTTGAGAAATGCTGATGTTGGGTTGAATACTGAGTAAGAAAGGTGCTGGTAATTTGCAAATGAAATGGCGAACACAGCCAACCACAATCACAACTCCGTAGTACTTAAGCATTGACCCAACGCACTACGCTTAGATTTTGCTCGTATCAAATATCAAAACGCTTTGTTTCAGCGTCACACTTTACACTAAAGACCGTAAAAGCTTAATAAACGTTTCGTCTGTTTGGTCGTTGCTGTCCACATAAGACCTTGCAAGTGCGCATGACTTCATACTGGTCAATGCGTGGTTCAAATGGAAATTTGTCCCATAATTTCACGGCAACTTACCAGCAAGCCGCCTCTCCAGTGCTATGTCGTCGATCGCTCAATACGAGCTCAGGAACGCAAACTGTATGACCAGTGGACCATCCCATTTTGATAATGCTCCTCATATACCTGATGATGGTGCGTTTGATGAGTTGGATGTCTCGATACGCCGTATCAGATCACACACGCCCAGCAAACGCGGTAGTATTGTATCGGTCTATGGTGTAACATAAATAACATTTGGCGTCCGCGTACTCGTATGTGCCTTCCATTCGACGCTCGATCTCAGTACATTACCAGCCTACGCTGCGTTACGCTCATGCATGGTTATCGCATTCCATGGCAGCCAGAACATAACTTGCAAGCGACCATATTGACTACGGTAGACCGATAAGGGAATATGAGCTTAATCGCCCTGCCGGCATGAGTAACTAGACGATTGAAAAAGTTTCCTTGACTTATAAAATGTCAATTTGCTGACAACAGGATTATTTATTCATAGAGGGATCTCTTATCCCCAACGACTCATCGCTCGCACCTCACACCATCCCTCGCTTCTCTGACGTCTGACGGCGCACGCCACAATCGCCGCCGCTGCGGCACGCTCGGGTGCGTCGCGTTCGTCGCGCGCCACGGCCCGTCACGAACGTCACGCTGGAGTAGTCTCCCGGCATGCGTCGGCGTAACATCGTGACGCCCGGCGTTACGCCGCGGGCGGTGGGCACGGTGGATTCGGCGGCTGGGCGGCAGGAATGCCTCGGGTCCGCCTGGGAGTGCCGCCCAAAGCGGAACAGTGCCTCTGGTCGCCCCGGGAGCTATGGTGAACGTTACGCCGGGAGCAGCGCCGGGCGGCATACCGCGGGCAGCGCTGGGAGCCGAACACGAGCGGATGAGCCGGGAGTTGGCCTGTGGGAGTCACACTCACCGCCGGTATGTGTGATCGGGGCGGCGTGACGCGTGACGAGACGTTACTCATCGTGGCCAGGTGACGCCGTGGAGACAGTCATGGTGTGTTGGAGGCGAGGCATGGCGCGGTGGAGGCGTGAAATGGCGCAGTGGGCGGTGTATGGAACAAAACGGAACTGAGCCTAGCAGAGGATGACACACGACAAATAAAGACTGCTGATGAGATTTTGACAAATGTGACTTCTCTAGGGGAAGCGTTATGAAGGATTTATACCCGGGACTGCCTTAATGTCACGTGAATATGAGGAAAAAGCTTAGGCTGTTCATGCATGATTCTGATAACCGGAAGCAAACAAAAATAAGCAAGCCCCGGCAATTCTGTCCGTGGGGGTGTATGCAAACGGGCGTTAGTGAGCGAACAGTTAGATGGAATTCCTCGACATGAACCGTTGGTGTTTGTATTCGAGCCATTAGGTCCTCGCATACATATATCATCGCATGTCAGCACTGCATACAGAAGATGCATAAATGCATATCCTGAGTGGGTACCACTGAGACCCTGCAATCGGTAGGACACGCTGCACAAGGCACATTAATGAGGACATAACATGCATGAATTAGCCTCGATTACCGATCAGCTACCCAATTCAAATTAGCAAGCTTGATTCACGGATGTAATGCCAGGGTACAGAAATACTGAAGAAGTGTGCAACTCGTGCATAGAGCCTAGTCCTAGTCAGCCTGCCTCAGCAGGCTTTCCATGGTAGATCTGAATTTCGAGTTACTGTCCGATCAAATTCAAGCCACCACGTATCGAGATTAGACGATGGGAGTATATCCTAATATAAAGTGCTTAGTGAATAATAATGAAGACTTCCAAGACGTTATCCAAGCTGTAATGCATAGGACACTTTTGTCATCATTTAGCAAGTTTGGTTTGTGACACTATTCTATCTATTTTCAGTCTCTGATAGCTTTCTCTTAGAAGACGTTTCTTCATTTCTAAGTCTGATAATAATTAATGTGTCCAACTTCAAGTTTCAACAGACGTTACGTATTTTGCTGCAACAGCGATCAGATTCAAGTGAAAACGAGTTCGTTGCACAGAAACTTTCCATTTACAAAGGCAGTTAGGCATACCTATAATTGTAGTGGGACTTCTGGTAGACCCATTAGCGCCGAACGAACTGCAAAATACCGGATAGAGAAAAAATGTGATCTATGAATACCTACCTACATTAATGCATGACTTGCCTAAGTCTATGGTCTTTAAACGTTTTAACCTGGAAAAGCAGACGTAACCGCTATACTGATGACGGTTTGAAATTCAGCGAAACTTACACATCCTCTAACACGCCCGCACTGAAGGTGAGCTAATATTAACTGGAATTCACTCGTCGCCTTGATCGCTTTGTGACAGATACGATCAAAGTCGGTGTGAACTGTGAACCGTCGCTTTAGGCTGTGCCATTGATGTTCTATGAATGGGACGTTCGACTGTCGCAGGGGAAGTCTGGATGGAAATCGAGCGCTGTTACGGGTTGTACCTTATTTTCAAAATTACATCACCGATGGGAGGGAAAATGATGATGCTGCATTCGTTGACAGATTTAGAAGCAGGGTATTGGACACTGAACAGGGGCCAGGGTTACTCAAAAACGTGTCTTTTTTTTTGCCAATTTGACTGATTTCGGACAAGGTAAGAGGGACTGCTAGGCATACCTCAAGCACCCTTCCTCCACTTGGACTAGGGACCTGCGACTGAATAAAGGCAAACAGTATGACTTCTCAAAAACTTGATGAAAAATAAACGGTTTTTCCTTTGAATCTGCACGCTATACTTCTTTTTTTTTTGTTGGGTTAGGCCCTTTCGGTCTGACAAGACCATTTCAGAGCCGGAAGGATGATAGGATTTAGGGGGAGACATTGGTCTGGGCAGGCACCCTAGAGAGTCGCCGGGGCTGAGCCCGTCCAAATGGACAGGCCGACCAGCCCCCCAAGCACTCTCTGCACCCGGCTACGGGGTGCAGCTCCCTCGGGAGCAGCGGTGCCGCTCCAAGGGAGCAGTCCGCATGAGATAAAGTTGCCTGTCCAGCCCGGAGGGGGGTTGCGGCGTTGGGGAGAAGGATTTCAGTATCCTGAGGATAGATGCATGGAACGGTGCTATACTTCTTTGTGAAGCTGAAATATATACATTTTTTTTTGGGTTAGACCCTTTCGGTCTCACGACCATTGCAGAGCCGGAAGGATGACAGGAATTAGGGGGAGACATTGGTCTGGGCAGGCACCCTAGTGAGTCGCCGGGGCTGAGCCCGTCCAGAGGACAGGCCACCCAGCCCCAAGGCAACTCACTGCACCCGGCTACGGGGTGTGCTCCCTCGGGAGCAGAGGTGCCGCTCCAAGGGAGCAGCCCGCATGAGATAAAGTTGCCTGTCCAGGCCGGAGGGGGGTTTCGGCGTGGAGGAGAAGGATTTCAGTATCCTGAGGATATAAGCACGGAACGGTGAAGCTGAAATAAAAACGCGCCAGGATTGATCCTCGACTCTCGAGGACTTCGACCCCAGTCCGTCAGTTAGACCTGCCCCGCCATCTGACGGTCACGTCGGAAACTATACACCACGCCGAGCGCTGCCTGTCGGGGTTGGATTACCAGAGGGCGCTGAAGCAATGCTGCTGAGCTCGAGATAGTACGTCCACCTACGAGCACCAGGCATATTCATATTGTGCATTCTTGAAAATTTAAGCAAATTATCCCGCTGAGGTCATGCAAATCACTGACCTGCGCATGACAGGAGACGGAGAGGGAAAGCACTCAAAAGCCTTTCGCTTTTCTATATCTTCTAAACCTCGATCAGCATTGAACTCTATACATACTTTTGGCCGCATCAATTTGATACTTTGTATAAACGATAGTTTCGTAGTTATCATAGATCCGAGATCGGCCAAAAATAGCTACAAATTACCGTCATGTTTGATCAGGTTTGATTGGGTCGATTATCTCCCTATGATTCAGATTGCTCCTCATTTCCTGCACGTTTTCGGTCTCCTTACACCCTCTTCTCTTACCTTTGTTGCCTCTCTCCATCTATTCCCGTCCGTCCAGCTCCGAGTGATAGTCCAGTCACCAGACAGCACAATTGCTCTTCCAGAACAGGCTGGGGTCGGACAGTCTCACTCAGGGGGCGGAGTCAGACCGCGGCTGGGTCACGACTCCACTCAGGGTCAGGTCAGGTCGGGCCGGGTCGGGTCGATCGAGTCAGTTGGCGCTCGGCCAGCGCCGCGGGGCTGGCGGCCCGGTCCTGTCTCCACCTGGCGCTCACTGGAAGGGTCTGTGTCTGTGTTCCGATTCAGTGCAGGAGCTATGCCCGGGAGTAAGAAACCTGTGATCGACTACGACGGCCCCCCTCCTGACCCCCCTCCAACTGGGCCGGAGCTAACCAGCTCGTACGAGTACGGGACGCCGCCACGGTAAGGAAATTGACCGACAGTGCTTGCTCGTGCTGGTGATTTAGTGATGTGCTCGAGTCTGTTGATATCTCTATATGTATATTGATTGCAGATTTTATACCATTCGAAATAAACCAGTAAAACGCCTTTTGGGCGAAGAACGAGCGAGCGAGATAGTGAGCCCTGCACGTGCGGAAGGGCGAGAGGGTGCTTCCAACGGGCTTGCGCAAAGCACCCTTCTAACCGGTCGCTAGCGGTGTGCCAAATTTGAACGCAATCGGCCCAGCCGTTCCTGAGATCTGGAAGCGGCATTCTGCACGTGCGCACGTGCAAACGGGGTCCAAAATGACTTTTGCACGGCACCCTACTAACTGGTCCCCAACCGTGTACCAAATTTGAGCGCAATCGGCCCAGCCGTTCTCGAGATCTGGAAACGCCCCCTGCACGTGCGCACGTGCAGTAGCACCCTAACCGCAACACATGGGAATGCATTGCCTGGTGGGTGCCTACCTGTATGCCAAGTTTCAGCGAAATCGCCCCAGTAATTACCGAGTTACTGAAATGGGAACAAATTTGGGACCTCTTTTTGTTGTATTTTGCACGTGCACTGGGGGTGACCCACATGCATCGAGAGTATCCTATTTTGGGTAGAAGGGATGCTGCTACCCTACAAAAATTACCGCAAGCCAATCGCCCAAGCGGCTGCTGAGATATGAGCCTCTCAAAATCACTACTTTTGCAAAACAGCTTGAACACCCTTGACTTTTCACGTGGCACGTGCCACGACGGTCACTGAGATGTATCAAAAGTAGTCAATTACGGGGTAGAAGGGATGGGGCTACCCAACAAAAAAGACCGACGGCCAATCGGTCCAGCGGTTGCTGAGATATAAGCCTCTCAAAAGCGTTACAGGCCGGGCCGGGCCGGGCCGGGCTGCTCATACTGAGATTTTTCCGTTATATTGAAAAGACTCACTTTGCTCGCTGCGCTCGCTCGCTCGTAATTAAAGGGACCCTCCCACCTTCAAAAAAGTTTATGAATTGGCATGAAAGTGATGTCGCTCGGTTCAGAAAGAGCGAAAACGAATATCTACCAAATTTCACCGAAAAATATTCACCGGTTTTCAAGATATTAGACTTTTACTTTTGTTTACTTTTGGGGATCTCCGCTGTTCCTAGCGACTTTATTTGGAGGCAATAGTTTGGCAGTTGAAAGTGCGGCACTTGTTGCGCGCAAATCAGCATATACCACCGCGTGCTACAAAACGTTTTAGTCAAACATTTAAAAATCGTTAGATATCTGCGCTGACGTCACACATTCAGAGGGGTATTCCTATGCATTATAGCCCCTCTGAATCAAAATGCTGCAATTTTGAAATTCAATATTTCCGATTTAAGGCATTTCTCGATGTTGTGAGTGCCGAAACCGGTAATTGTGAGCCAGGGACCCCATTTTGGCTATCTCAACTCAAATCTAATGTTAAGGTGGGAGGGTCCCTTTAACCCTCGCCGGCCGAGGGGGAGGGGCGGTGCCGCCCCCCCATAGGGTTTTTTCGCGATAGCTCCAAACACGCTGGCGATAGAGAGCTGAAACTTGGCATACCTGACCTTTGATCCAAGCCGGATCTTTTGACACCAACCGCATTTTTAGGTCAGGTCAGGTCACTGACCTATGACGTCATAAGTGAACCTCTGCACGGTCTTCAGATGTCGCAACTTCGCAACGCCCTCACTGCCAGAGGAGATGTCACAGGGAAATGAAACTTGCAGGATCTAGTATCCATTATGAGTCCCACAACTTGTATATCTCGGATTTTTCCTAAAGGTCATATGAGGTCAGGTCATTTTCGTGACCTCACCATTATAAGTCAATGGGGAAAAATGAAAACTGCCATTCCGGCGCCGGGAACGATCTCCACCTATCTCAAGCACACAGAATCGTGATTTGATGCACTCCTTGCAAGGTTAGATGCGTCACTTTTGCAATGTTGACCTTGCGTGACGTCATTTATGACGTCATCAAGGTCATATTAGTTTTTCGTCAATAACTCATGATCAAATTGAGCTAGCGAGTCGAGAAAGCCACCAATGGACTCAGGAAGGCCTGCCAAATCGAATGATATGCGACATGACCTCTTTCGACCAACTTCGTGACCTGGGGGTGCTGACCTGACCTTGACCTGAGGTCAACACCCCAAGTTGACCTGACCCGTACAAAAAGTATATCATTCGACGCGCCTGAGCGAGGCGAACACGATGCTGCCAAAATCGGCGCTCTGTGGCCGTTTTTTGCGAAGTTATTCACCAAAAACTGAACCGTACCTTGGGGCACTTGACCTGACCTCAGAGGTCACCGGTTGACCTAGGACCTTAAAATCGGGTACCAATCTCTGCGTCTCGTAACGGCGCACACGCTCGTTTTTTCCGCGACGCGCTAGCTCCACCAGGGGCGAAACGGCGAGGGGGGTTGTACCCGCCCCCCTCGGCCGGCGCGTATGTAGAAAACCAATAGGTCCGGCGAGGGTTAAGATGGTGTGAAAGATAAATGCTCAAATAGTTACCATAAATTTGGTCGTGAGTCCGGTCTGAAATGGATCAAACTTGCATAAGATTTTTTGATATTAAACGTTAAAATAATAATCACTATGCTTATTACGATAATTAAAAACTATCAAATGTTAAATTTAATGAATTACATACCTTTGAATGTCGTATTCACCCCGATTCGCAATCATAAATGTTAAACGGTATTGGTGATAACAAGGCATCTGGTATCAAGGTTTTATAATGGTTGCGAAGCGATTGCCACTAATCCTTCTACAGACTCGAGGATAAAGACGGAGCTGAATCATCCACCAGCCGTGGAGAGGGTGGCCAGCCTGACAATGGAAACGCAGCCGGCTCAAAAGCGACAGACGGAGCTGGTAGCGCCCGAGGCGGGGAAGAGGGAGGGGAGAAGGGAGAGGACCTGGAGCGACCCGCCAGCGGGGCCAGCGAGGTGCACACGGGAGCCGTCCCGCTGCTGCAGGAGGACGTCTCAGGGAGGTTCAGGATCATGGCTGCCATGGAGGAAGTCGAGGTGAGTAAGGAAGCTCGCAATCTGTTTATTGCAGGGTTGGAGGGTGGATGGCTAAGAGTGGATGGCTAGGAGTGTTTTTAGGGCTTTGGCTGAGAGAGAGACTCTCACAGATGGCGGTGTGGTCTGCAGGAGGAGGTGCTATCGTAGATGGCGCTTAATGAACGTATTGTGGACCAGAATCTGCCGTTCTTAGGCTGGCATACAGACAAACTAAAAGAGATCGTGTCCGTGAGGGGAAGAGGCCAAGAAAGCTAAGAATACAGACAGAAAGAAGATGAGACGTATATAGAGACGTTAGCACTATTATTATCGACGTGCCATTGTCGGCGCTGCCCATTTGCTATGCCTCCTAAACATTGTCACATGTCGAATACCCATGTTATTGTTATCCACTAGGTCAATTGCTACAGCAATTGTTATTGCCCTCTCCGTGTTACTGTGAACGTTCTGGTCACCCCGTCAGGACCGTGAGATCCCGAGCACGGAGCTGAGCACCCCGCCCGGCTCTGGTGATGCGGCGCTGCACCTGGGGGCCGCCCTGGTGCGCTGGAAGCGGCTGCTGGGGCTGGCAGTGCCCGGCGCCTGGGGCGAGGACTACTCCCTGCCCGAGCCACCGGGCAGCGATCAGTACGTGCCGCCCCTGGTCTGCAAGCTGGTCACCTCTGTGTGGGTGATGACGGTTGTGCTGCTCCTCTTCACCAGCATCGGACTGCAGTGGGCCTTCTGCAGGCAGTGAGTTGCATGGCCGGCATTGGAAATGTGATAATCGCCAATGGTGAGGTATCTGTAACTGATAACATAATGTTATCAAACGCTCTACTTCGCTGCATAAAGAATTTCGGTCATAAGTTATTATTTATTTTCATAAATGCTATACCTGTATGAAATAATTAACGAATCCGATTCTGCATTATCTACGTTGAGTCCCTTCAGGCAAGAGCATAAAATCGTGCTTCATTATTTCCCGCCGGTACCTCAAATACTGCGCTTAACACCCATACCCCGTGCCCCGTACCGACGCCGCTCTCCCCAGAGAATACTACGGTCGGATGCTGGTGTGGCCGGGGGCGAGCAGCAACAGCAGCTCGCGCGACTACCTCTGTGTGCCCTCCTTCGTGTGGATCCACCTGATCCCCCGGCTGCTGTACGCCTTCGGCTACGTTGCCATCTTCGCCTGCATCTTCTGTCTGCACATGCACGACGCCGAGACCGTCGTAGCCAGGGTGAGGCATGGGTCAAGGAAGCCATATCGACAGCGTGACCTCAGTGATGAGCGATTTATATGCGAAACACCACCATGAACTATGGAGTTGTATCATGTCAAGGATTTATGTGAAATATTTTTTCTTCTTGATATTCCTCCAAATATCATAAAGAAACAAGAGAAGAGAAAAGTAATGTAACCAACGCAACTCTGTAACTATCAGGGTGGAGGAAGCTTTATTTACTGTAGCACTACGCGCTGTACCATTCAATTATCAGCTAAATATGACCGTCTATTTTTCGCAGGCCTACGATGTGATCACCGAGGAGCGACAGAACCCATACATCACTATGGGTTTCATCGACAACTGCCACCGCGACCCGCACCTGATGGTGTTCTGGTTCGTCGTGCTCCAGGTGTTCTCACTGCTGAGCACTCTTCTCGGAGAGGACGTGATCCTGCAGAACCTCACTGAGATGAAGCCGCTGTGAGTTTGTCAAATTGCGACTATATGGTGGCTGTATGACACGCAAACGTTTTCGATGTTACGTTCTGTAAACTGAACGTTGATTGATGATAGTCACGAACAATGTTCATGTTTAATAATCACTGCTGAAAAACAAATGGTGCTGTTTAGTGTCTGCTGTTCTCTGTTCCACTGAATATTTTTGGTGGTAATAACGCGAGGAGATGACGGAATGTGCTACCCTCCATAGGCCACACTCTGCGCTGGAGTGGCTCACCTACTCGATCACGTGTTTCGTGCGTCTGATGGTGGACGGCATGATCGGCCACTGCCTCATCACGGCCACGCTGTCCATCAAGTACCTGGGGCTGATGGTGGAGAGGATCACCTGGCACCTCCAGACGCTAGTCTCCTTCAGCAGCCACCAGGCCGCCTCGCAGTACTTCTTCACGCGCACACAGATCGTGGTGCACTGCATCCATGGTGCACAGGTGAGCCAGTGGGATGCTGATAGGGGACCGATGGATTCGTTAGGCGACGAACAACTTGGTATGAAACTGCTTGCAGATGCATGTCATCTCCATTTGACTGAGTATATGAAAAATGGTCGAATGCGTTTCAAATTTCTCAACAAACCGCCAAATACTATGACCGCACATGCACGATCAATGTCGAGCCCCCACTTCAGGCGGCCAATGATAATTTCTTTTTCGCAGCCCCACACCTCGGCAGCCATACTGATGGCTGCGCTCCGGATATGTCAGATCATCAGTCTGCTCACTCTGGACCACGTCAATAAGCCGAGACGCTACTCCTCCCTGGCTCAGCTGCCGATTGCGATATTCTTTACGATGACCATCCTTTTCTACATCCAGAGGGTGAGCTACGTTTTTATTGTTTAAATAGTTTTTTATCACCGGTATTGATGCCTTGTTAGATTGCAGTATTGGGATATCAGTCCTACGATAGGGCATTCATCGCATTGCTTTAGTTAGCAGCTATGTGTGGTGTTTTTGCCATTTTCACACCCCTGATAGCATTTGGTACATTTGAAGTGTCCCTCATTCAATCGATTTCCCCTTGTCCTAATACTTCACATTTTACATTACACATTTCACACTTTTCCAGAACATCTCTTTGACCGAGACATGGCAGCGATCGACCCTCCGTGACCCGGACATCGTAGACCCTCCTGAGACCGCCGAGGCGCCCGCAGCGCGGGAGCAACAGCATCAGCTGATCCACCGGATCTCCAAAGAGGAGGAGCGGAACCGCGCCGTGGTGCTCTGGTACCAGATCATCCGGCACGCTCCACCCGTCACCGGAAAGGTGCTGGGAATGGGTGCCAGTCGAGGCATGTACTGGGCCGTGCTGGTGGTTGGGACGCTGTACACCACAGGATACTACGTGCTGATCAAGTACATCCCACTCATCTGAGCGCTGTTGGATGATCCAATGACCGGTGGTTTGTTGGCTGGCTGATTGTTTATGAGGAGGTATACCCATAGTTGTTGGCTGCTTTGTTGTCTGTTGATACTGGTACGGTGTGCTTTATATCATGCGGAGCTTAGATGGCTGACGTTGACTTTGAGGGGAGGCCGTCAAGCCGACATATTATGCTAATTAGTTGTTAAAAAGGTGATAAATTAAATCGTTGCAGAACATTGTTGACCTAGCTACTATTTTCAGGCGTGCCATGACCAGATGACTGGTTACGTTGCTGTTACGTACGTTTCGAATATTGTGAACTCCGTTTGGAAACGAAATGTATCCAGACCTATCTCGTTATTGTTTTTCGTTGTTCAGTGTACCAATACATTGGAAACGTGCCAGAAAAAGCTTATTTACTCGTGTTAGTTCTTAGGAAAGTATTCGCTATTCACTGTATATCATATAGTACTCGTAAAGGTATAGGTGCGTACTTCGGTTATCTCTTGTGACACAAGCTGCATGTGTGGTTCATTTAGGCATGTTTCACCGTGGTGTTATTTTCTGTTAGGCGGTGCAGCTGCCATTGTCAGTGAAGGTAGGTTATCCTCCTTTTAAAGGGACAGTATCATCGAAAAAAAATTCATGTATGGAGCTGATTTTTTTTTACTAGCATTTCTTATTTTTCTGAATCAGAAAAAACATAGTTTGAGGACCGAACTCGGTGAAAAATATTGCAACCACATTTCATTTTCATGATTCATTTTCATGAGCGAACCACCACTATACAAGCATGGCCGCCAGTTTGGAAGCACGCAAAATTACTACAGAACTGGCGCAGATAATACATTATTGACGCTACGCTTACGCGGTCGTTCTTCTGATTGAGTTGTCCTTAGGGAGAGGTAGCCTTAGGTATTGCCTATAAAAATATAACGTGACAATTGGAGGGAGTGACAATTGGACGTGACAATTGACAATGGGAGAAAATATCACGTGACAATCACGTGATAAACGTCATACATTGGAGGGAGATTGTGATTCAAGCTGGAGGAATTCCTTTGGTGAGCCGCTAGAATCCGAAGGAAACAGCGGAAATTGCCTACGACTATTTAATGAATTTAACGGTGATGAATAAGTGCGAAAAACGTTTTGGCTTTATAAAATTTGATGAAATGACCAGGGTAAAAGTTTTATTACTGGCGGTCAATTCAAACCGGCGCAAACATTTAAACAGTGAAGATAGTGAAGCACGATTCAAAGTGTGGTACACCTTTCGTACTTTGAGCGGCGATAGCGGGATAACGGTGTGGAGCTTCGAGGATCGGTCTTCAGTTCCCGGACCAGAAAGGTGGGGCCTATGCAATGTCAAATTTCATCAAAATGGTGATACTGTCCCTTTAAGAGTTGCAGTCTCCGCCCTCCGGTATCTTATTCCGAGTGGTGCAATTTTTCTAACAATAGTTGCAGTCTTCATAGACTATTTGTCGGAGGGTCGGAGTGAGCTTCCTTTCTGATAAGCGTTGCAGTCTCCAGCGTCTTACATCAGGGTTGGACTACTATTCTAGTAGCAGTTGCAGTCTCCAGCGTCCTTGCTCGAATGTTATTTTCTTAATGGTAGTTGCAGTCTCCAGTGTCAAAGCTGAGTGGTGCTATCTTTCTTATAGCAGTTGCAGTCTCCTGACCAAATGCTGGGGTGAGATACCTTTCTGATAAGCGTTGCAGTTTCCAGCGTGTTATGCCAGGATGGTGCTACTTTTTTGTAATAATGGCAGTCCGCTCTATCCAGGCTGGTGCTATGTTTCTTAGAACAGTTGCAGTCGCCAGTGCCGTATTAGTGTTATCTTGCTAATAGCAGTTGCAGTCGCCGATGAATGCCGACTTAGGCTATTTTTCTTGTGTGCGTTGCAGTCTCCGCTATCAAATGCGAAGTGGTGCTTCTTTTCTAAGTCAAGTTGAAGTCTCCAGAGCGCCTGCCGAGGTGGGCATCTCTGAAAGACGTTTCAGTCTCCAATTCGGAATGGTGCTGTTTTTTTGCATAACAGTTGCACTCTACAGTGTTCATGTTCAGGCATAGGGCATGCCATCTTTCTGATTGGCGTTGCAGTTCCCATCCTCTATGCCAGGATAGTGCTGCCGTTCAGTTGCAGTCTCCAACGTCCATTTCACGGTGCTGCTTTTCTTGATAGTAGCCGCAGTCTCTTATTGTTATTTTCATCTAGTCGACCTCCGTGCCTGAGTGGTTTTATTTTCGACCACGGCTATTATAGTCTCTAGCATGCATATTCTGCGTCTGTACTGGAATAAACACGAGGCAGTAGATTTCGACGATCCATGCGCTCAAAGTCCGACTCATCCGACTCACAACAACAAAACGTCCCAGAAGAGGCTGAATTCGAAAGCATTTTTGCAGTTGAGATTTAGCACCCACAAGAAGCGTTTATAATTCAGCGGTATTTCGGGTCGTTAGATGACGTCATTCGCCTGCAGCTGCCTTTCCCACCACGGGGTCTGTGAGGGGAATACCCACGCTCTCCGCAGGGCGTAATTACCTACCCTGTTTACTCAACCACTACCGGCGAGCCGGGGGATTACCTGTGAGCCTGTGCCGTGTTATGAACATAATCGCTTCTTACAGAATACACAGTGGATCCCTTGTGCTTAATGAGCTTTTTTATGAGTCAAGCGTGACTACTCAAGGAGACCCACATGGGCTGCCCAATGCCCATATCGAACCCATATGGGGCCCACTTGGGTGTGCTGGCTGGGTAGGCGCTATTTTTGGCTCTTGTGAAAAAAGACGCATGCAGAACGGAAAATGAATTTCTTTTCCATCTCGTTAAAGCATACAGGTACCTATACCTATTTCCAATAGGCATAACCGCGCCAAATAGGTATAAAAGGGACGTATCGGTCGTCTCGGATATATGCGCGTGGATGTTTTTGTCCCGGATTTTTACAGCTCGCTGGGTTCCCGGCTGGGTGCCGTCCGCGGTTCGGCGACTCGAGCCTCTGTGAGGGTCGACTGTCGCCTGGGGGCAGGCTCAGCCTCGGACACGAGTACGGTGGGCGCCGGCCGGCCGGCTCCGGTCGGCGCCAGGTGACTGTGGGAGGCGTATAGAGGTGCTGGGCGCTGGGTGGGCAGGTGGGTCGGAGTCTCTCGACAGTGGGACCGGTTCCAGAGGCTGTACCCGGCGGAGAGCGCGCAGTGACACACGCGGAGAGGACGACTCTCATACCGCGCGGGCCGGCCTCCGCGCCCGTGACGTTTGTTAGTGTTGGTCGCTGACTGCTGAGTGTTGATTGTTGAACTCTGTCCAGCCACCATGTGGCTCTTACTGGGCTGCCTTCTGGCGGCCGCGGCTCCGGCCCTCGGCCGCGACTGCGAGAAGATGAAGGTGCCGTTCTGCTCCAACATGCCGTACGATGAGCTGCGCCTGCCGAACCTGTACGGCCACACCACCCAGGAGGAGGTGAACCGTGCTCTGGAGCCGCTGCAGCAGATGCAGACCTCCGGCTGCTTCGGACACTACTCGTTCCTGTTGTGTACCGCCCTGGCGCCGCCCTGTATGGCCGACGTGGAGCGACCGGCGCCGTGTCGCCGCGTGTGTGAGAGGGCGAGGGACCGCTGCTACGGCCTGCTGCTGATGTATAACGTCACAGAGGCGTGGCCCGACTGTGACCTGCTGCCGAAAAACAGCGCCGACCCGCTCTGCATGATGCCCACCTCACTGACGCCCAGAGGTGAGACCGTCAGCTTGTATTGTATTGTATTGTATTTACGTCATAGACTCATCCCTTCATGAGATCGGAATCACAGGGCTATTCTCGAGTCAGAGTCAACACACGCTAAGAAATGCAATGATGAGGATAAAAAGTGAACACACATAAACCACACTACACACACGATGCAGAAGCTAAAAGCGGTTACAGTGGCGTGTCAGCTCATGTCACCGAAGATAAGAGTTCTAAGACCTTGCTGGTAAACATCGAGGTGGACATGTCCCAGAACTCGCGTGGTAGGGCGTTATAGCCTGCGGCAGCGCGGTACACGAATTGCCGCTTCCCCGCAGCCGAGCCGTGTATGCGGGGAAGACTAAGCAGGTGGTCCTGCCTGGTGCTGCGGCTACGGTCTGGACGCTCGGCATTAGTGGCAAATAGTGCAGCTAGTGACTCGGGCTGACCTGTTCGTCTAGCTTTGTGTAGGATGTTTAGGGTTTGGGCTTGAACCATAGTGGAGGGGTCCGGCCAGCCGAGTGAGGCACGGACAGAGGAGATGTGGTCGAATTTCTTTTTGCCGGAGATGATGCGGGCCGCAAAATTTAGAATTTTGTTGATGGTGGCGAGGTTCTTGGCAGACCCGTTGCCATAGACGGAGAGGCAGTAGCGGACGTGGGAAAGGACGAGGGCAGACACAAGGATTGGGAGAGTACCGGATGGTAGGTAGTGGCGGATGTGGGAGAGACCGATAAGGATGCCGAAGCACTTCTGTGATAGTTGCGACACGTGCGAGTCCCAAGTGAGATGGCGATCAAAAGTGACACCGAGATTTTTTGCTTCAGTGCAAGGTGATAGCACGGCTTGCCGAAACTTGACCGTGAACGGTGGGAGGTCTCGCAGATTTTGACGTGAGCCGATGGGAAGTAGCTCGAATTTTGACTCGTTAAGTTTTAGACCGTTCGAATGAAAGTAATCACCAAGCGACTGGAGAGATGCCTCGAGTTTTAAGATAAGGTCAGGTAGCTCGGACTTGTGTCCAGAGACTAAAACCTGGGTGTCATCGGCGTACTGAATGATAAAAGAGTCGCCAGCGTACAAGCTAAGATCGTTAACGACGATGCTGAACAAGAGAGGACCCAACGATGACCCCTGGAAGACGCCCTGGCTAATGTTGAGCGGAGGGGAGCTCTGTGAGGCAGAGATGGCTACGCTTTGCGTGTGACCGTCAAGATAATTTCGAAACCAGGCAGTGTCAATGCCGTGCAGCTCGAGCTTGTCAAGCAATTTAGAGTGGGAAATCACGTCAAAAGCTTTAGACAGATCAAGTAAACAGAGCAGAGAGATGTGGCCTTGATCCATGCCAGCAAGTGCTCGGTCAGAGATTTGGAGGAGGGCTGATTCGGTACAGCTTTGGTCTGTGGTGTTTTGGAGATACAATTGTAAGGAACTACTGTGAGGTAGGTAAGTGCAGGACAAAATGTGCGCTGACTTACGCGTCATAAAAGTATTATTTCACCGTTGGCATCTGCACTTCAACGTTATAAATGAAGGTGAGCGTATCGAATCGTCACAGCTGTATTCATACTGTGTCTGAGTATGTCCCGTGTTACCTATGCACGTACTTAGAATCATGAAAAATAAGGATTTTAGCAATTAATATATTCGCCCTGAGACGTATCCATAACAATCTGGAAGCGTCACCGACGTCCGTTGACGTCGTGCATGCCCTTGGGCAGTCAAGTATTCTAGTGACACACGACGACACGACCCACCACTGGGACAACCATTCTTCGTATGGACCGTCCCAAGGCACTATCAGGCTCGGTCAACTCATGAATTATTCATCATGTGAGACCCTGTCGCCTACGTAGAATAAGATTTGCGCATCGGTCGTGGTTTTCAAGCGGCTGGAGAGTGCGCAAAAGGCTCCAGAAGGGGAGCATCTCTTCTATTATGCATTCAAAAGGACGACATCTCGTACAGAGGACGTCACACTGACATGGGGCACATCGAGCCGTGCTTCCACAGATTGCTGACCGGCGCTGAAGCCGGTGGGGTGAATATGCTTAAGCTGTTGTGGTAGTCCATGGCCAACTATCCAACTCCAACTATCTAGTATGTTGCCAACAATTGATACATTGATCCATAATACCTACAGTCTACACATATGAAGCCTATGGCTCGCCTCTCGTTTCAGAGTGTTTGTTTCTGACATCATCAGCGGTTTTGGTCGTAAAAAATGTTTTACCTATCCAATGAGCGAAATTTTCTTTATCTCATTTACAAGCATTCGTACTTTCACAGACAACTGTCACTGCTTGAAGAAGCATCAGCCGGAGAAGCCAACTCTGGAGCTGATGAACGACCGGGACTACGGCTATTGTAACTATACCCTAGATCTGGTTACCGAGAAAGGGAACTGTGATAGCGCGATGTACTACAATATCATAAAATGCACTACATGGAAGCGGTGGAAAGTGATCTCCATGACAAATTAAATGTCACCGAAGATGCAATCAATTATAAATAGTGTATTACATTATTAAAAACATCGCTAACCGACGGTGTTACCTTGTCATTACCAGCAATCAAGGCGCGCATGGATGGTTTCGCGCCGTCCCACTTCCCCTCGATCCTGAGTGTGACGGTGCTGGACATCTTCCGCGACGGCATCGTGCAGATGAACATCGGCAACACGTCCTTCATAGTCACCAACACGTCTTGCAAGTGCCCAGAGCTTGAGGCCGGGAAGTGAGTGTCCGGGGGGGGGGATGATGAGCACGGTGCTGGAGAATGGTATAATTTGCAGTATAACTGAATTTGTACGAAAGAAGTGACTAAAAATCGTTACCGGCTCTCCTTTACAAATGACGAAAGGAAACACGCATAGGTCTTTCCTATTTCAGACTGGAGATGCGAACCTTGTGATAAAAGTCATAGATAACATGAATCATGTTATCTTTGTAAATGTGAATCCTGAAATTAAATCACGTCTACAGGAAACTAATACATGCATTGTGGCGAATCTATGCCGTAAATATAGTCCTGAAATTTGCACCGTTTATCGTTCTATAATACACACATAATGCGCTACTTTACAGGGAGTATCTGATCATGGGTCATGAGGACCTGAACAGGACGGAGCTGTTGCTGGGGAAGGACAGCTACGTGGTGCCCTGGTCTGACCCCGTCCAGCGCAACTACGGCGCGGTGAGACCTTAGACGATGACAGGCCGGGAGTGAAATTATCAATTTCTTTACTCCAGAGAAATCGCGAGATTGGCTGATTTATTATTTTTAAGAGCTCGATGCAAAGCATTAGCTGTGTACGTATCGATTTTAATGTCGTCTTCATTGGGTTCCTCTGAAGGACAGCTTGGTTAAAAATGCTTCTGTTTGATCGAACTCTCAACGGAAGTGAGCCCCTATGCTTCCTCAATGCCCTGCAGAGTTCCAGCCGCACTGTCTCGTCCCACTAGCATGTTTTCGTCTCATTCTCAGCCGGCGCGCGAGGCATACCAGGACCCGGATCGGCGCACCTACTCGCGCCACTACCACAGCTACTGTAACCACCACGGCTACAGCCTGGGCTTCCACCGTCCGTCAGCCACCAACCTGCTGATGGCCGGCGGCGCCTACGCCCTCTACAGACACTACAAGAACAAAAAGAAGCTCGGAAAGGTGTACGGGTGAGTCAAGACTTAACGTCAGGCTAGGAAAGAAGCTTAAGAACCTAGGAGAAACGGACAAAGATGGGCAAATCAGAGTAGCTGGTAGAAATCTTGCGAATGCGGTCCTTTCTTGTGTATTGCTACAACTTCATCTTATTCTGTCCAGGCATCAGTACGCTTCAATTTCTTTTCGACTCCGCAGAGTACCCGTCCGTATATAGCTGCTGCACCGACCGTGTGTTTTTCACACGGTCTCTAAAATATCACACCACTCATCTCTAAATCATATATTTCAAATCGCTTACTCATGAGCATCAGACTACCATATTCATTTGACTTCACCATCATGTGTTTCTCACTTCCTGCTCTCCTCCCCACTGGCTGACCGTCCTCCGTGCCCCCCCCCCCCGGCCCGCAGCTATCCCGGTTACGGCGGATACGGCAGCTCGTTCGGAGCCCTGGGAGGTGGTGGGTACGGAGCGCTCGGCAACCCACGCGGCAAGTTCACCAACTTCAACACGTTCGGCGCGCCCGCGGCCGGGGCGGCCGCCTTCGGAGCTGCCGGCTACGGCTACAACAACTACAACAACTACAACCGCTTCGGACAGACCGGCTCCCAAGTGCCGTCCTACCCCATCACGCACAAGCCCAACTTTGCCACCAACAAGCCCAGCTTCACGAACAAGAATCTGAACCCGAGCTATCCGGTGACCAGCAAGCCCTCGTACCCAGTCACATCGAAGCCGTACCGCACTTCCAGCTCCAACACAAGGTGGGTAACGGGGCGGTGTTGGCGCTTCGAATCGCAAACGGACCGATTTCGCATCGGTTCCGAATGTGTCTGGTAAGTTTAAGTGCGACTTAAAGTCACACTTTTTACCTTTAAGAAAAAAAAAATGCAGTGTCTGTTTTTATCATCTGCTTGTTGAGTGTGGATTTCGTATTTGTCCCATTTATTAAAAGGTGTATTTCATTTTGCTCATTATAAATAAATATAATCATAACCGCTTACAGTCATAATTATGAGTATAATCATAATCTTTTCATTTGCATTCATAGTATTTTCCAAGACCTAATTGAATTGAGAACGTTTGCTGCAACTCATCTAGGGGGTATTAAGTTACTTTGTTTGATGTCCTTAATAATCATCTGTATGCATGTAGCTGATGTACCGAAACATTAGAACAATTACCTACCTGTTTGTGTTGTAGTCAGGTGTACAATAGTATGTGCTTGCTGTGCTGCTGACAGACATCTGCAATGCACACGAGTGTCCCATGGCCCCGAGGCCCAGTGACCCCATAGCCACCCCTCCAATGTATATGCCTCTCTCTGATCTCTCTCGACACTTCTCCTATTGAATGAATGTTTGCTCTTTGCTTCATGGCCATTCCGCTCCCTATTTAATCCCACAACAAATATAGAGCTCGAAATTATGCATCGCACAGGAGCCAACGACGCGACCTTCACTTTTTATCCACCTTTAGGCTGAATTACAAATGCCTTACACAAATTAAAGGGACACTCCAACCTTAACATTAGTTTTGAGTTGAGATAGCCAAATTGGTGGCCATGGCCTGCAAATACCGGTTTGGGCACTCACAACATCGACAAATGCTTTAATTCGGAGATATGGAATTTCAAACTTGCAGTTTTCGGATTCTAAGGGGCTAGTGCATTGGTATGCCCCCTTAGAATTTGTGACGTCAGCGGAGATCTAACGATTTTTAAATCTTTTACTAAAACGTTTGGTAGCACGCGGTGGTATATGATGCTTTGCGCGCAACAAATGCCGCACTTTCAAATAAAGTCGCTAGGAACAGCGGAGATCCCAAAAAGTAAACAAAAGTAAAAGTCTAATATCTTGAAAACCGGTGAATATTTTTCGATGAAATTTGGTAGATATTCGTCTTCGCTCTTTCTGAACCGAGCGACATCACTTTCGTGCCAATTCATTAACTTTTTTGAAGGTGGGAGGGTCCCTTTAAGGTTCCATGCTGAGGTATAATTGTACCATTCAAGACTGAAAATATCCTGCAAGCATCAGACCACTTTAGTTTCCTATCCATTGTTACCTATCCACAATGTTGTCCTTGCATTGAAATGGAGCGGTCTTTTGCAGGTCGCGAACCAGTCGGTGGCGCACCAGTCGGTAAGAAGGGAGTTAGCACACATTTTAAACACACTCAGCAACTCTACAGCTCCGGACGACTCGACAAAACCTAGCACTGCTTAGTTATAATTAAAATGATTCGTGCACATAGAAGGCGAGTTTTGCAATGCGTGCTGTTTGTGCTTTTGCGTGATTGTGCGCGTGTTTGTGGGCTAGTGCCGTGTGCATGTATGCGTGCAGTGTGCGTGTTTGCTTATAAATACGCGTTTGCGTGAATGCGTGCGTGCGTGCAGGTGCGTTTCAGCTCTGAATGCATGAGTGCATGCGTACGTAAACTTGTCTAATTGTGTTTATTTTTAGGAACACTTCGCACAAGGCACAGTAGAATCTACAAAGCGACGAGGTCTTCTTTAGCTCCTAGGATAATATTCATGTTTAGGACCTCTGGTTGTGTTCGTTTCGCTGGTGACTCAAATGTGCCCTGTTTCTTTTCTCCGACAGGACCTCCAGCAGCAGAAGCTGGGGATCACGGTGAGTTTTTTTTTTACTTTTTGTTAATTAAATTATCACGCTTATAGGGCGTCAAAAGAGCTCCCCTCGGCTTTCACAAGAAAACTCTCGTAGAAAACAGCTGGTCGCGACGAAACTTTCAGTACCCTCGAGTTAATCAATTTTACACTTTTCCTGAAAAAAAAACAATTCTGTGGCATGAACTGTGATGAATGTGAAACTGAAGAGATATCTTACACGTTTGGTTTGACTTCAATTCTGCGCCCTTCTTCAAATTTCAGAAGCAGAAGCAGCAGAGGAGGCTGGGGAGGCAGGTGAGCACAATTTTCCCATCGTAATGTAACCAATAGTGTCATCGTAATGTCATTTTCACAACAACAGAAGCGTAAGGTCAGCTTGTGGAGCTGTTGAAAGTAACCTCAGCTTGTGGAGCTTTTTTAAGTTCCAGATGCTCATGCATTATGACATTGAAATTAGAACTTAAGCACTTTCACGAAAATGCCGAGATAAATATCAACGAATCATAGATAAAATTGCAAAATACCTAGGCATGGGATATGTGAATTATTTTTTGCATTTGCATGTTTTGAGTACCTAAATTACAATTTTGTTAATGACGGCTCTATAAAAATTGGAAAGCTCAATTTTTTATCTTTAGGTAGGTAGGTATAGGTATGTACCAGCTATGTCATTGACCGTAACCTGATTGCGAAATTTTTGGAAGAGTACCTGATACGATAGAGGCCATTACAAATAACCCACAATTTAACCAATATCTTAATAGCACAATATAAATAAATATACCTAAATAAAACAAAACTAAAGCAACACATTTGTTGAATGGGCGCAGATCTGCATAAGCAGGATCGATTAGCAGCGATCCCAGGAGGCAAGGCATGAACTAATAAACAGATATACCTGCAGGAGCACGCTGTTGCTGAATTGACAATTGTCGGGCCCTTATCTCACGGTTGTTTAGAAAATTAATGTTGCAGCGGTTGTTATTTTAAAATTAATATCGTCAGTGTAGCAACTATAGGGAATTGTGTTGCTTGAAAATATATTTTTACGTCGGCATCTCTGTTAAAAAAAAACGTTTTTACTAAATACGGATAGAAAGTTCAGCGAGATTGTTGAAGCGAGAAATAAGCCTAAAGAATATCAGTTGGCTTACCAGCAAGCCTAGTTCTTTCAACTTGTAACTAAATTAATTGCAGCTTAAATTTTCCCACATTAAGTGCCCTTCCGCCCAAATTGCAACCCCGTCTGTCAGTTTTGCGCGCGTCCGTCCGCAGTACCTGACCGACGACTCGTGTCCTCAGGTCGGGCGGCCGTGGCGGCGGGCGGAAGGGCTAGGCCATCTGAGGACGCTGCCAGGCCCCAGGCGTCAGCTAAGAGAGAGCGAGAGAGAGGGAGACAGTGCCTGATCCGGTCACTCTCTCCAGCGTCAGAGAGAAGAGCGCACGGCAAACGGCGCCGGTTTTAAGCTTAGAGACCAGCGATGTAGTGCATTTACCGATAGTTACGCTGTGGCTTTCGTAGTAGGCGAGTCGTTTTAGTGGACGGCATTGATTAATCAAGAACGTAACTGACTTGTGGGCGAGTAATCACCATGGTGTTTAATTGTAGTGGAATCTTTGCGATGAAACTTCTAGTGGAGTCATATTTAAAGAGTCAGACGTAGTTCAATACGTATACAAGTCTCATTTTTACATTTTGAATTTGTCATGTTCATGCAGTGGCGGATCCAGGGGGGGGGGGGCAAAATGGGCATTTGCCCCCAAACGGCATAATTTTAACATTACGCCTATGGACGAGGCATGGAAAGAATCGATAAATTGTTATGGTTTGCCCCCTCCCCCCCCAAAAAAAAAACTCTGAGCTGGATCCGCCTCTGTGTTCATGGTTACTTTGTAATCACGAAGGCAGCAAGTGCATTGAAGAGCTTATCTTTTATGCATTATATAATGCTTTAAATACGGACTGTTGCCCTAATAATGCCAGTTATCATTGCTAAGTACATCACCACGAATTTACTGATCGACTCACGGTGGAGGGAATATGAATAAAGCTCTGAAAGCCATGCGATGTTTTTTTATTCGACCATGCGTGCCAAATAGAAAGGGTGTGACAATATCCGTAGCAAATCAATATTCCCTAAAGCTGAATGAATTAAAAGAGCATTGCATGTCTTTTGTAAATCTGCAACATTCTTGGAGAGGGTGAGCCCGTTCGGTTCAATATGTGGTTTACTTAACATCTTGTAACGCTCTAAACATTTGTATGCATCGTATCATTCCACAAATCTCATGATAATGTGGCGGCCGAGATATATGACGCACAGCACACTGCACAATCATCCAGCTTTGAGCCCGTGCCCTGCGGGACAGTCTATCTTGAAGTGCATTGCGGTACAGCCTATCTCCGAGACGGCAGGACATCGGCCGTAATCAGGGGATAACCGGGCCTCAGTGGCTGCCCGCTGCGGTTCTGAGCCATACACCACAACGCCGAGATGACCATACGTGATAATATGATTCTCTAGCACGTTTGTTTGTAAACGCTGAATGACATAAGCGTTTGTAAAAAGAAGCAAAACCAAGGCAATGAATGAAGTCGTCTTACACTCCCACTTGATCATAAACGCGGCTAGAGCCTAGAGAGGCCAGGCAGATCTGGTGTCCAATGTCAATTCAAAATGCCTCATCCTCATGACGACTCGCAAGTCGCACTTGTTTTTCCTATTGATGAGTCTGACACAGCGACTTTGGAATGGTGACACAGATGAAGCTAGGCATTTATGAGCTGTGTCCGATAACACATATGCCGGCTGTGGCGGAACACCTTCAATTAAGGGGGGGGGGGGCACTGCCGACTTTTGGTCCCATTCTTTCCATGCAACGCCCATAGGGCTAATGTTAAAACTCCCAAATCAAAGGGGGGCACGGTGCCCCGGTGCCCTCCCCGTTCCGCCGCCTATGTAATCAGTGTTTATATGTAGTCGATTACAGATAAAGGCAGCCCTATAAACACAGGCATTATCGTCATCGTTACCATATACCGGGTTTTAATGCCCAAGAACTCGCTACTCCTCCCCGTTTATTTCCAGGTCAACTCAGTCGAACAACCGATACACCCAGTGGTCTCCGCCGCGCACCACGGCACGGCCCAGCTACCCTGCCACGCGGCGTCCGGTCTACCCCGCCACCCGCAGCCCGTCGCGCTCCTCCCGTTGGAGCTCCCCCAGGTCGGGCAGCCGGAGCTCCTCCAGGAGCGGATCCCGCTTCGGAGGATCCCGCGGGAGGTTCGGATAGGAGCTGTCGTCTGTGGAGGCAGGGTTGTGGCGTATAGAAATGGTCAGGGAATAGAAATAGTGGCAGTATTAGAGGAGTGAGAGGCAGTGTCAGTTGACAGCTGTGTTGGTGTTCGGTGTTCGGACGGGCACAGGAAGTGCAATAGTTGTGCGGTGAAGCTACGTAGACAAGCTGTATTAGCCAGGTTATTGGAGCACAATAGTGCTATCTTATTTCAGCTTATGGATCCCAGCATTAAGCTGTCTAACCTACTCTGTCTTTTAGCTGAATTAACTAGTAACGCTTATACAGGTGTCAGTCAGGTCGATTAACAACTTTTAACAACAGACGGGGCACCATGCCATAGCCCATTCCAAAAGAAGTGGCCTGGATAATTATCTACCATATACTTTTACTGACAGGACAAACACCGATCAAATGAAATATGGTCAAGACTTGTTTGCGTTTCTTTCTCCATTTCGGTTGTACCTACCTTATTTAAGTACATTGGCATTGCTTTCTGCTTTCCGGTATCTAGGTTGATGACCCTCCATGGTCTGGCATAATTCGTGCATTGCTAAATAAAATGTGGAACCATAGACCTTACATTGCCACGCCGTTTACATTTGCATGCATTGCTTAATTCCATTAATGTCCCGGTTATGTGGCCGAGGTATGGTAGGTACGCATAGCAAAAACATCCAGCTTTGAGCTCGTGCTTTGCGGGACAGTCTATCTTGAAGTGCATTGCGGGACAGCCTATCTCGGAGACGGTAGGACATCGGCCGTAATCAGGGGATAACCGGGCCTCAGTGGCTGCCCGCTGCGGTTCTGAGCCATAGACCATAATGCCGAGATGTTAATACGTGTTAATATAATTCTCTAACATGCTTGTTTGTGAATGATTACCTATCACTTGCTTGTGAGGACATAAGCTGTTGCAAAAATAACAAACTCAGAAAAATAAATGAAATCTTCTTGCCACGCTCACTTCATAATAAACTCATATACCTAGGTATCTATGTACATAGACTGGTCAGGCATCATTTGGTGTCCATTCACAAAGTAGGACAAAACAACACTGCATGGTGCTCAGTGTTAATAACAAAGACGAAGCTTAGGTACCTTTTTGTGAACTGCATCAGCCATCAGACAATGTCATATGCCGATTTTTATACCCATCAACGTTTAAAACCCTCACCGGACCTGTTTTCTTGATACGCTCCGGCCGAGGGGGGAGATTCCCTCACCGTTTCGCCCATAATTGAGCTGGAGCCTTGCGGATAAGAACGAGCGTATGCGCCGTCACACGCTCGTTGGAAGTATCCTCTCACGCGCGGAGACTGAACGATAGGTTCCCGATTTTAAAGCCTCAGGTCAGCCGGTGACCTCTGAGGTCACGTCAAGTGCCCCAAGGCGGGCACGGGTTCAGTTTTTGGCAAATAACTTCGCCAAAAATAGCCGCAGAGCCATGAATTTGGCACCATCATGTTTGTCTTGCTCAGGCGCGTCAAATGATGTACTTTTAGTCCGGTTTAGGTCAAATTGAAGCATTGACCTCGGGTCAGAGCACTCAGGTGACGAAGCTAGTCGGAGGAGGTCATATTGCATATCATTCGATTCGACAGATCTTCTTGAGTCAATTGGTGGCTATTGCGACTCGCTTACTTAATTTGATTGGGAGTTATTGTGACGAAAAACTTATGACATTTGGGACGTTATAAACGACGTCAAGCAAGGTCAATAATGCAACAAAGTGAAGCACCGAACCTTGCAAAGAGTGCATGAAATCTCAATTCCATGTGCTTGAGATATTTTTAGAGCATTCCCTGCGCCAAAACCTAACAGTTTCCATATTTTTCCCATTGACTCAAAATGGTGAGGACTGAGGTCACATGACCGACCTGACCTTAGGTGACCCTTAGTAAAAATCTGAGACATAAAAGTTGTGAGACCTCTGCAGGGTACTTGGTCCTATAAGTTCCATATGTGAAGGCTTCTCTGGCGCTGAGGGCGCTGCGAAGTTGCGACATTTCAGGACCGTGCAAAAGTTCACTTATGACGTCGTAGTTCAGTGACCTGACCTGTCCTAAAAATGCTGTTGGTGACACACAATCCGACTTGAATCAATAGTCTGGTATTCCAAGTTTCAGCTCTCAATCGCCGGCGCGTTCTGAGCTATTGCGAAAAAAACTAGGCGGGGGAAAGGGCGCCCACCTCGCCCCTCGGCCGGCGAGGGTTAAATGTTATCGATTATTACAGGAAAATACAGGACGGGTGCCTATGAGCTGTCATGAGCACCATCCTTGTACCTATACCGGTTCGGTTTATAACTATAGCCTCCGACAGTCTGTTCCCTCCCCGTTCATTTTCAGTGTGCAACAGTCGAACAACCGTAACACGCAGCGGACTACGCCGCGCACCACGGCACGGCCTACCTACCCTGCCACGCGGCGTCCCACCTACCCTGCCACGCGGCGTCCAGTCTACCCAGCCACCCGCCAGCCTTATCGTGCCTCCCGCCAGCCTTACCGCAGCTCTCGCCAGCCGTACCGCACCTCAAGGAGCTGGAGCACCTCCAGATCAGGCAGCCGGAGCTCCTCCAGGTCGGGGAGCAGGAGCTCCTCCAGGAGCGGATCCCGCTTCGGAGGATCCCGCGGGAGGTTCGGATAGGGAGCCGCCGTCTGTGGAATTATGGAAATGGCGCTGTGACGAAGGAATGGTCAGGGATAGCGCCACGCCAATATTAGAGGAGTGAGACGAGTGGTATCGGTGATCGGTGCTTCAGACGAGCACAGGCCGTGCAATAGTTGTGTAGTGAATCTACGTAGACAAGTTGTAATAGCCAGGTTATGGAGCACAACAGTGCTATCTTATTTCACCTTATGGATCCTAGCATTTTAATAAGCTGTTTACCCAACCCCCTTTACATGGATTAACAGCTTACCCTTACGAAGTGTATAGTGTCCATTCCGCAAGATGTGGAGTGGATAATTATGCACCACAGCCCACATGGTTTTACTCGTAGAACAAACATCGATCAAATAAAATGTGATCACATGTTTGCGTTTCGTCCACCACCCAATCACCTCACTTCTGTAGGAACCGCCCTCCGTTATTTAGGCTGATACCCATTACCCTTCCTTCTTTTTGTACCATTCGGCGTAAAGGTAAATAAAACCGGGATTCTCTTACGTGCCCTTGTCTCTTACAGCGCAGTAAACTAAAATAGGGGGAAGTTCTGCTTGAAGTTCTGCTTGAACGACCGATTAGTTTTCAGCCCAAGCAATGGAGCCGCTTGCTACCGCTCAACATCAATCATACAAAAATTGTTTTGCTTTCAAAGGTTAGGTTTCGCCGTTGTTCGACGGTTGAGAACACCCGAAAGTCTTTGTGGAGCGCTGATCACTGACGGAAATTGCACGCATGAAGGTGACGATGTCGATATAAGCCCATCCTGGTGCGTCGAGCGTGGAGCTATCAAACCGTTTCGATTATATGCATTCGCAGACAAAATGCAGGCAACGGATGGCCTTGGGTAACGGGAATATCCTCAACGATAGGATAACAACATATGCGATAGCTAAGAAACCCCTTTATACCGAGCTGATAACGTATTGCTACACCTATACACGTCGCCTTCTCCATGTCCTCTACTTTAGTTTTTGATCGTCTCATAATGCATCTCCCGCAATCCACGTAGGGCCCCACAGCTGTCGCCTAGAATTTCGCATCATACCAGTCACCTTTTCCAGCACATCCACCGACTGGCTGATTATTTCCATGTATTTTCGTGCAAGTAAATCATCAAAACAATAGCATTCGCCAGGCGGCCGGAAGGGTGTAGCGACTGACGGCCCCGCCATCGGGCCTGGCGTCACCACGGCGCCGTGTCGTCATCACTGCGGCGCCGGGCGTCATCACTGCGGCGGCGCGGCGGGCCGGCCGGCCCTCTCCGCTCATATAGTATATGCGAGAAGCGGCGGCGGGGCGGCGCGCTTCTCAGAGGTGGCGGTTCGACGGGTCCGACCGGGCGAGTATCAGTTGAAGTTGCTGCCCTCGGGTGGCTGAGGCAGGCCCTTGTTCTCCTTAGCCGTCATACGCCGGCGCAGGTCCATCAGCACAGTCTTGATTGTGTACGTCCGGTTCCAGTGTGAAAGCACCGAGATGCTTCGACTGTCCACCTGACCGACGGAGAGGGAGGGTCAGAGCTACGGCGAGGGATGGCAGATGGATAAATAGCAGACTTCCTCGGAAAGAAATGTCAGATCTCGAAGTGCAACGAAATAAGCAAGTTTTGGCAGCAGACACGCATCGCAACATATGGTGGAACTAGAACCAATTACCACTTCGTCAGCCGAGATAAATCCATCTTATGATGCAGTGGCGGATCCAGGATTTTGTCAAGGGGGAGGGGGCATACGGTATTGTGGTGCCCCCTGGCATTTGGTGCCCCCCCCCCCTAAAAAATCAACGGATTTCGGCCACTTACTCAGGGGGATGGTGCCCCTGAGACCTCGGGATGGTGCCCCCTCAGACCCGGATAGAGTGCTCCTTCAGACCTCGGATTTCGGAATAGTGCCCCTGGAAACTTGAAATGGTGCCCCCGGAGACCTCGGAATGGTACCCCCGGAGACAGACTTCGGGATGGTGCCCCCGGAGACTTCGGGATGTTGCCCCCTCTGCCATCAGACCTCGGGATGGTGCCCCCAGACCTCGCGATGATGACCCCGTACCCTCGAGATGGTGCCCTCTCCGACCTTGGAATGGTGCCCACGGAGAACTCGGGATAGTGCCCCCGGAGAACTCGAGATGGTGCCCCCGCGGACCTCGGGATGGAAATAGCCCTACCCGAGGCGAGGGCCTCCGGGAGACCCCGAAAACGGTACCCTATTCCGATAGACCTTCTGGATGGTGCCCTCTTAGGAGACCTCTGGGTTGAAGCTCCCGTCGGTGACCTCCGTGATGAATGTAAAAAACCGTAATGGTGCCCCCCGGGAGGCCCAAGGGGATGGGGCCATGGCCCCCATGCCCCCCCCCCTCTGGATCCGCCACTGTTATGCTGATTTTCCCCGACCTTCTCCGCCGTATGAATAACGCAGGACGCTGAACAGCCACCCCTCTGACGTATTTCCCAATCCACACTGGCATATCCTTACTCTTCTGCCCATCTCCTATCCCCATTTCCTCTGTAAACTCCTCGACACTCACCACTCCTGTCTGGGCATTGACGCCACTCAGGTTGATTCGCGTGATGAAACGTATTGCCGGACACTCGTCCGGATATTTGGGGCCGCACTCCAGGCGCAGGCTGTACATACGGTTCTCAAACTTGGTCTGCGAACGAACAGCACACGTCACGGGAGGCTCTCAAACTTCGCCTGCGAGCGGGCAGCAAGCAAGCTACGAGAGGTGCTCAAACTTAGTCAGCGAACGGTCAGCAAACAAGTTACATGCGGTTCTCAAACTTGATCTGCGAATGTCAAGCAAACGTCACGAGAGGTTCTCAACCTCAGTCTGCGAACGGGTAGAAAACAGTTCAAGAGAGGTTCTCAAACTTGGTCAGTGACCGCGAGCACACAAGTCACGGGAGGTTCTCAATCCTGTCGAAGAAGAGCTGACAGAAAGTGGGATATAGAGGATTCTGCATGGCTCTGAGTGGAAGATACGTCTTCCACTATGCCGGGAAAAGATCAAGTGATCTATCGACGGCGGGGAAAGATCAACTATTCTCGCCACGAATGGTTCATTACGATTTATCATCGTGTCTTTGGCCAATAGATCTTTCGATTCGATATGTAAGAAATCCTTATCTTCCACTCAGAGCCATGAATAATCCTCTATATCTTCCACTCTGAACCATGAAACATCCTATATAAGATTTTATAGCGGTATGAGCTGACTGACAAGTTTCCAATTGCCCCATATTTATTTCCTTAGTCCAAGTTACTTTGTATTATACCTTCATATTATCCAAAACTATGAAAACTACCGGACTATTACGATTATTTTTACGGGAAGAAAACAGTACTCAAGCTCATGGCCATCATCGTACATCGTGAGACAACCGATTCTGCTATAAATACATCGGTGTCTTACTTTTTCACCCAAGCGCTGAAGAGGAATCACAAAAAGTCGACAAAACATACGGGGCACTAAATGACTCGCTGCCTGTGGCATTGCAAAAACAGCACCGGTATGGGCCTTACAGTTCACGTTAACAGTCAAAATGTAATAGGTCTTAGCACCACATAGAGCGCTTGTGGCGATTATATTTAACAGGCATGTAGTAAATAGCATCCAATGTATGTAAAGCTATATAACACCACAACTGTGTTAGCGCATGAAAAAGCTTCATCCCCACATCCCTTTCCAATAGATGGATTCCAAGAAAGCACACAACGAGCCCACTCCAAAGAAGCCGAGGGAATTCGTGTCGCCGCCGACCGGGACGGGACCCAACCAATTAGTCTGATGGCTCCGGTACTCGAATAACCAGCCAACCAGCGGCAGTGTCACGGGACTCGCGACATTTCATCGACGGCTGGGGCGCGCCACTCGTACCAAAGTCTATATGCGCTGGTGCGATGACACTCACATGAACTTCAGCATATAAGTGTTGACATAGCGTCATGTCATCTTAGAAGACTAGCAAAAATAAGACCAAATACTGCCACTGCGCTATCCCATCTAATGAAATATGAAGCTAACCTTTCAACATATCTCTGGTGAGATTGTCAGACACGCTATTAAAAGGTTCGACTGTGTACCCTGAAATACTACGGGCGGTCCTTCGACCGTGGAACCCATTTACCACAGTCCTTTCGCGATCCCTGATGGTCCTGACAGCCAAGCAACTGAGCGACTGTACCGGCCTGTGCGTGTGTATCCCGGTCAGTCCAATGTTCGTGACAAGTCATTGGATTGGACTGTACCTAAGCCCTGGTTAAAAGTTAACACGGCGCGGTGCAATGAAAACGACACCCTATTAATTTTTTAAAATAAATTTAGTCCGAACCTTTTGATTGGAAGGATTCACAAGGTCAGAGGCCCCGCTAAGCGAAGCTTGTTGCGCTGACCCCGCCCTCTACCCTCCGATCGCGCAATTCCAGTTATATGGCAGAATTTAGCGTCCAAAGTTTAACGTGCGCACATAGCCGCGTACGGCCGGTCCCCTCACTGACTTCGCCTGGCTACGGCCTGTCATCAACCGCAACCATACCTGTCAGGAGGCCCATAAACGTCAAGCGCCCGTCGCACTTCGAACCCGGACTGTTGTAACCGGGAATGCGTGCTCTCACCACGCAAAGTCCAACGCTCTACCGACTGAGCTACGGAGCCGGCTAATGATACCGTCCGGGGTAATGATACCGTCCGGGAACGGCTAAATGATACGATCGTATCATTACCCTGTAGGATCGCCACGTCATATGTGGAAGGCTTTTGATGTCAATACATACATTACATACATACGTCATATACATTAATACCCCGAACGGTTCGATGATCACGATCTGCCATTGAATGGTACAAACCCGTAATGTTCAATGATTGTGATACAACACTAGATGGTACTATACAACTGTACATTTACCCTGTACTGCACGTACCCCGGGCGGTCCGATAATCATTCCCGTCCAGCGGGACAGGGTCATATCTGAATCATCCTCCAGTCCCCAGCTGATGGTGCCGTCGCCGCTGCCCTTCTGACCGGCTTCCAGTTCCTCCAGTAGACGGAAATTCCGCGGTACCACTGACGAACAGAGAGGCGCGGCCGTCAAACGATACTGCGGTGAGCATAGAGACAGGGAGAGCCGAGAGGTCGATATGAGACAGCGCAATGTGATATTTTCTGACATGTTTATCTCCTTTGTAATGTTACCACTGGCCACCTCCCAGGCCTGGCTTGGTAGAACTCAATGCTATAATACTCATAGACCTCAAAGCAGCTTTTTAGTTTATTTTAAGTTTAATTGACAATGCATTATTGTATATCAAGAGAATTGGAGTTTAAAGTGAATTTGTTACCTGCATAGAAGGGACTTGGGCCACAAACTAAGTAGTTTTCAGTTATTGTTCTGGGAGGAGAGCTGGCTTGTTGCCATCATTTGAATACATAAATGGTAAATGAAGAAAACCAGAAACTACAATTAATTCATCAATCTATATTCCTCCTATTCAAATTATGGAACTGGAGAATAAACCAAATGCAAACAAACACAGTGTACTCATAGGAATTCATAGAAGTAAGACATCTGGATTGCATCAGGTTGGTCAACTTGTTGTAATGATGAATAATGTTATGGAGCTGATTTGAATTTTAGGGCAAATATTTTGCACACTATGAACAATTAAACTAAAATATATTTTATCTTTATTTATTATTTTCATATATATTTATTGCACACTATAAACACTACCAATAAAAATCCTGCATAGGTACTTGCAGCTGCTTTGCAATAAACTATAAAGAATAACACAATGATAATGCATTACAAATACATACCAAGTCCAACATAAATACAATACAAATACAGTTATTTTGAATCTGGTACCTTGAGGGTGGCATGAACAACATGAATGAGCTCAGCAGTCAGCATTACATTTCTTTATCATGAGTGCTATCATTACAAACAAAAGTAGAGTATCATGAATTTTTATGTATAATTTATGATTCTGCAGATTACTATGGCATAGACTTAAAAAATAAAGCCAAGAAAATGATGCCAAGGACTTGACTGGTGACAATGACTGGTGTATATAGGTAAAGCAGGTAGAGGCAGGACTCCCATTAAGTTACATGAGATAAAAGATTCATACAGCCCTTGGTCATCTTTTTTCCAAATCTGCAAAATAGGTACTAAATCAAAAGTATAATACAACTCTCTGATGGGGGCCTCTGAACTGTGGACACCCCCAAAAAGCTGAAATAACATGGTGGTTTTGAAGGATTGCACACAAACATTGTGACATCCTGGCCATCAGGGGTGGATAATTGTGCCGAGTAGGGGTAGCACGAGCTTTCCCAATTCCACGCTGGCTTGGCTTTAGAGCAGCAACAGACGGCGGAGGTCAAGGTCACCGCTAGGGCGGCGGCGGATTTGCTGTGCCCGTGCTACCCCAACTCAGCACATTTGTCCACCCCTGCTGGCCATTGGCCAATGACAATATAAAAGGACCATGTATGAGGATAATAAATGAGGATAAGGAATAAGCTCTGGTGACGACCAAATGCCATCTCTTACAGATGCATATAAGGTCATAACTTTAACTACAATTATAAAGTTTATGATAGCCATCGTATTAGGCTACATCTCAGCATGTGAACTTCAGAAAATTCAGGACTTCTAACATTTTCTAAACTGAACATGATTAATAAACATATTTATATACTTTTAATGACTCATAGGACCTTCATGGATGTCAAAGCCAGCGACAGATGATCATTGATGCCAGAATCGACACAACTCAAACTACGAGACATTATTGCATTTAACAAACCCTTCAGCAAAACCTTGGACAAAATGTTATGGAGTGCAAGGCCTTCTACAAAAATATTAATTATTCAACTACTTACCCGCTCCACCTCCTTGCCCAGACATGGTTATTAGACTATGGGCGTGCGCGGAGAGTACCAGACCGCGCCGACTTTCCGACCCTCTAGGCCCGTACTTCGCTGAACACTATACGTGGAAATGTTATGAAACAGTTGACTATATAATCCTAATGCAACGCAGATATGAAATCCAGCGTTTTACAAAAAATCATAACCCCAAACGGCCTAAGACCGCGCCGCCACCCCTATCACAATTTCTAACATAAGCATCTGCGCGTTTCGATTCGTCTCAGTTTGGATTACATGCGCCATTTCTGTCTACCTTTAAGAAATGTTTTTTAAGATTTCCAGTAATTCTTCTTAAAAAGTAATGTTTTGGATTTCATTTTTTCTTTTACTTCAAAAGATCAAGATTTCGAAAAATCAGTACCAATTTGTATTGTTCATTCAAGAAACACACATTCCGGAAAATGCGTTAATGAGAGGCAAAATTAAAAAACGACAATATTTTCTAGATTAAAGGGACCCTCCCACCTTAACATTAGATTTGAGTTGAGATAGCCAAAATGGGGTCCCTAGCTCACAATTACCGGTTTCGGCACTCACAACATCGAGAAATGCCTTAAATCGGAAATATTGAATTTCAAAATTGCAGCATTTTGATTCAGAGGGGCTAATGCTTAGGAATACCCCTCTGAATGTGTGACGTCAGCGCAAATATCTAACGATTTTTAAATGTTTGACTAAAACGTTTTGTAGCACGCGGTGGTATGCGTATATATCTTTCCCGAGCGAAAAAAACAAACATTCGAGTTTTTTGGCGCTTTTGTTTCAATTGTGGTGGTTCTGTTCGAAGGCCCATGAAGGTGGTGTTTGCGCAAAATTTCCAACGGAAAATCACCGACTATTTAGTGTAGACAGCTACATATTAACTTTTTGAACAGGCCTCTCTCATTGTTTGTTTTATACATTTTATTATAGGCTGGCTGTTAATTCCATCTCAATCTGTCATCTTTGTCAGGCAAACGTGTCAAACGGTCGTTATTTCGGTATGAATTGAAATTCGCAACATCTTTTGTACTGTCTCTCCTCTCTCTCTCTCTCTCTCTCTCTCTCTCTCTCTCTCTCTCTCTCTCTCTCTCTCTCTCTCTCTCTCTCTCTCTCTCTCTCTCTCTCTCTCTCTCTCTCTCTCTCTCTCTCTCTCTCTCTCTCTCTCTCTCTCTCTCTCTCTCTCTCTCTCTCCTCTCCTCTCCTCTCTCTCTCTCTCTCTCTCTCTCTCTCTCTCTCTCTCTCTCTCTCTCTCTCTCTCTCTATCTATCTATCTATCTATCTATCTATCTATCTATCTATCTATCTATCTATCTATCTATCTATCTATCTATCTATCTATCTATCTATCTATCTATCTATCTATCTATCTATCTATCTGAAACCTGCCACCTTTTGCAGACTGGCCGAGTCTTGATCGAGACTGCAAAGCGTGGCAAATGCATGATTGAGGTGTACCAATAATTTTCTGAATGCATGCCTGGCCTGTGCCTGAATGTTAGGTATCACTGCATGCCTGGCCTGCGCCTGGTCATCAGGAGCAGGCCTATGTTTGAGTGCGCCTATGTTTCTCATGTCAAATTGTTTCGGTTATAAACCTGCAAAAGCTAAACATGCGCTCATTGATCAATCAGCTTTCAGTGATGTAGGTACTAATGTGTGTTTTTGTGAATAGTATAATGCAAACAGAATCATTCAGAATAAATTTGGCTCTCAACAACAATGTCCATAACATTTCTTACTCCATTTCATTTCCAGTGCTCCAGCCTCCAGCCTTGTGGGTGTATGCATTCAAGATGCTTGAAAAGGTGAGCTGTTTGCATGTTTTATGCTCAACATTTCTCCATTCAACAGCAGCATAAGCACCATTTGAATGAAGTGTAGACTGTAGGGTATATATTGTGTTATTCGAAAAATAACAAACTTTGAAGCTTTATAGGGCAGTCCATCTCTAATACTCTAGTCAAAATTATCATACCAACTTCAGCTGATTCTGACTCTGACTTTGCAGCACTGGTCAAAGCTGAGCATGTCAAGAGGTTACAACTTACAGGGTTGTTTGACGTTGGGAGCCTTGGGCACTGGGGAGCCATTCTTTGTGGGATTCCCGTCACATATCTAGAAGGAATATGCAAAACAAAATATACAAGGCTATACCCCAGTTAATACGCCCATGTGGTTACCACATGGACATTACAAGGGCAAGGTGGGCTCACATGGGCAGGGGAAGAGCATGGGTCTGGAAGACATGTATGCATGGGAACCGAACCATATGGGCTAGCCCATATGGTTCCAATGCATAGACGTCTTACAAAACCAGGTGGACACCATGTGGAGAAGGTGGGTTAGCCCACATATGCACCATACGGTTACCATGTGTGTATGTTAACTGGGGCATAGTTATCACCTTCCATATTGCTATGCTCCTAACCATTTTCCTAACAACACTCATCGCTAACAATTCTCATTTTATGGTGTTTTATTAACCAGCTAAAAATGTGAACTTGAAGTATGACATCTATCAGGGGACATTGAATGCAAATTTGTTTCAATTGAAGTTTGAAGACATGATAGATTGGCTCTTGAATGGGTTTGCTCTCACTCCCTCTCTTTCTCTGTGTCTCTGCTTTAGGTCCCTTAATTCTGGAGTCTGGAAAAGTTTCTTAACCAGAAATGATTTTGTGTATTACTCGCAGGTGTAATTGTCTTCATGTTTGGTGACAAGGTCGCAGTCATAATGCCATCATGCTGTGTGTAAACTTATATTTCTGAACGACATTACATACTTTGTTGTGGATTGATTAATGTTTGCTGAACAATAATCAATTTGATTTTACATATTAAATGTATTAGAGGCTGAGAATATAGTCATTTTGCTTTGCACTTGTCACCTGAAAAGGTCTCATAATCATTATATTAACATCACTTTCCTTTTCAGGAAGAACTGAGGAGACTGAAAGGGGATATCATATGTCCCAGACTGGACGTTTTTGACGGAATTCATGAGGTAAGTTTTCAACTAGCCCCCCCCCCCGCTCCCTAGTTTTAACTTAACCCCTCATGGCCGATTGGTCTATGGCCTCATGGCTCATGGCCGAGTGGTCTAAAGCGCCTGATTACGACGCTGAAACAGGTAGCGACAGCGAGAGCCCGGATTGAGCCCCCGGGACTCAAATCGGGCTCGTGACCGTCGGCACCGGCCACATTCAGCTCCTACGTGTAATGGCATGTGTCTTTGGCAAGGACCGCTCGAAGGCTAGAGAGTGTCAGTGTGCGAAGGACACCGTTTTTTTTTATTTTATTTAAAAAATGGGTACATCAGCTTTTACATGCTGGCAAACATTGCACTTGTTAGACCCTCTCCGGGGGGGGGGGGGGGTCAGTCTTACCAATAGCGTGATTAGGATTAGCCCCAACTTTGATCGATAGCAATTGTCAACTGTTTTCTGCCTTTGACGCGAATTGACGATCTCAGAACCAGGGTGTGTGAACAATTTCTTTGTAGTTTCTGCATCAAAAGTTATTGCAGAAAATCAATTTTGGTAGAAATCGGATGTTACGTTACGTGATCTCGATGCTAAACCGGTAAAGCGGCGACCTGAGCTCAAATCTCAAGAAACGATAGAGCTTAAAAAGAACTGTTGAATGGTTTTCCGCGACTCTAGCCCTCATTGCTACGGTGCTATGGCGAGATTTGCGAAGGAATGTCGATATCGCTAAAATATCGAAACATTTTTACTTTGTTGACCTAGGAGACATCGTTTCAATAATCAATTTGTTTACAGGAACTGGAGAAAGGGACGGCAATTGGATTTGAGTGTCCAGTTGGACAGGCCAGCGCTGAGCTCTTCCGGAAGCTGTATGAAGAGGTGACAAGAACGACTCTGTCAGTGGATACTTGCACTAAGGGCGGCAAGTTTCTGGCATACAGGGTAAGTATTCATGTATTCCTACAGCACATGGGGAGAGGGGGGGGGGTGATGCCACCCCCAGACAGTTTTTCATCGCTGCACATTAGGGGAGAGTGGAGAGACTTGGGACATATTTTTAGCACCAAATTTAAAGAGTTCTGTATACTAAACTTAAGGGAAGAATGCCACCTTGAGTGAGTGATGTGACTTGAGTGAATGTGCCTTGAGTGAGCATGAAGGTCGAGGTTAAGCTAGATCACCGTAAATAGCCGTCATAGATGCGCCGCTTTCATGTCTGTTGCTAGCCCCCTCCAGCCCCCAATCGATGCCCCCTAAACCTCCCCTACCCTCTCCCACTCATCCCTTCCCCCTAAGTTCGCCCGCTGCCACAAAATAGCGGAGAACATGAAATCCCATAGTAAAGCCCTATACCGCCGAAATCACCAACATTTTTACTTTGACCTGACCTAGCAAGGTCAAGACGTGACATAGGAAAGTAAAACTATGTCTCGTTGGATTCGTCTCATCCCAAGGATTCGTATGGTTTTGTACCGAAGCTCTAGCATGATCAGGAGCGAAACGGCGGGGGGGGGGGTTGCACCCCCATCCCCCCACATGTGCGTTCTAGGGTGGGAAAATCGCATATGCGGGCGAGGGTTAAGCTTACCCTTATGGGAGGCCGCTTTTTGGGACACCCTACTGGCGATCGTTTCATAAAAAAAAAAAACGTTACGGCGTACGCTACGGAAAAATAACGTACGCCGTTTTTCTGCACGCGATTTCAACGTTTTTGCATAGACTTATTGCGTTTTTACTTCGCATTTCCACTCTTGCTGTGAATGGAAAAAAACGAATGCATAAAACTGCATAAAACGGATATAAAATGTTGAAACACCTTAGATTCATATTATGTCTGAACAAATGGGCTAGATAACCCGACGTAAGTTACGGAAGGGTCTTATGAAACGACCCCATGCAGACGCGTAATAGTCTAACAACGCAATTTAACATGGGACGGACTATGGGGACGCGTCGGCAGCTCGGCGTTAGGTCTGCGCTGAACACCAGTGTTGTAGCCGCCAATGCTAAATTGTATCGTTAGGTCATGAAGGTGCGCGTGTGCCGTGGACGATCTGCGTTACAGGCTCTGTTCTTTGGGAGAGGTCTAAGTGGCTGCTGTTGTAACATTTCCTGGTTTGCAGGCGACGTATGTGTGCCATCACAACGTCCGCGATCGGGGTCGGAAGGCGTCTGCAAAGGACACTCAGTGCCCCTGGAGATTGCATGTGGTCTCCAAGACTAGGAGCTCTATGTCGCGAATCAGGTTGGTTATGACTTTGGTACCTAACAGTACCGATGTGTGATGTGTCGTTCGATTTTTTAAAATCCCCTACCCATTAATATAGGCAGGCAGGAGTGTCAAAACGCATGCTTGCAGGAATGCTCAGGAATGCTTGCAAAATTCTTTTTTTTTAAATTCGGCATTTATCTTTAATTACAGGTACACCCGTCTGCAGACTTGTGGCAGATACGTGGTCCTTCTCGCCAAGCCCATAAGGGTCATCCGCCCAGCTGTCACCGCTACCCCAATGTCCCCGCTCGGCTCGCCGATAAGGTCGTCCAACCTACCGCGCAGTCTGCAGAGGGGTGTGCCTACATGCTTGGAGTGCATTGTTTTTTTTTTTTAACAAATCAGGTCCTCGTCAACATACCCTTTGTAGAAATTGGCAGAGACCAATGAAACGCACATTGCGCATCCTGTATGCGTTTAAATCTTCTCTCATCACATCAGATTTGTTACCGGCAACATCGGGGGAGGGAGGGGTGCATTGTGTGTCTCCTGAAAAGGCGGGGAACGATTTCTGACATTATGCGAATATTGTTCCAGCGATAATCTGCATGCATCCTGCGGCCTGGTTGTGAGGGGCCTGGGACATCACAACCACGCCACGGACATTCCGGCTGCACTGAAACACCGAAGGGTCAGCGACGCGACCGAGGCCAAGCTCAAGAGCCTGTTCAGGCACTATCATTCTCCGAGCACGGCGCTGCAGACCCTCGACATGGAGCTCAGGGAGGAGTGGGGGGAGGAGTATCCTCTCAAGGCTGCCGATCGCTCGCTCCTGCCAGATCTTTCCTACGTCTACCGGTTCGTGTCCTTATCTTTCCATCCGGCATATCCGAGTTCTCATCCGACAGTACCTATACCTATATACGCCTGCCACAGTAAGCAGTTGATAACCATGCAGTAATATGACTACGCAGAATGCTAGTCCTCCTACGCTCAAGTTCGATTAAACTACGTCTCACACTATGTATCACCGGATTAATGCGAACTTCAATAGGAACACGACTTCAATCCTTTGCGTTTCCCATGTATTCCGTTTTTTTTTTTTTTGTGTGTGTGTAATTGAAAAATATATTTCTATAAGCACTGGCGGACGGTACTAGTTCTAACTAGCACCATCCAGTTGGTGAGCAATAGTATGTGTAAGATATGGTGAGCATCGCATATATAATAATGTTACGTGCCTTTGTGAGGCGCCAAACTGTCCATTGCACAACTTGCTCTTCAATGTCCTCCACAGTTGAATCGTTTGGTGAGGCAGTGGGTTCGATTCCCACAGCTGACTTGATCCGTACCAGTCAGACCTGGCGAGCGTCTCATACAAATGGATTTGACTAGAGGTGTTGTGTCCAGTGCTGCGGAGTCGGCCGGAGTCGGTAGTTTTGGCCGGAGTCGGAGTCAGTAATTTTTCACCGACCAGAGTCGGAGCTGGAGTCGGATTCGATTTTAGCGGGCCGGAGCCGGAGTCGCTGAAATTCGGTCAACTCCGCATTACTGGTTGTGTCGTGTCAACTGTGATAATTGCCCATTGTGCGACCTTTCCGTTTTCAGGTCATTAAAGGGCACTGCGTTCTTTGACTTTATTTCAGCCTGTACTACAAGATCCACGGCGAGCAGTACGGGGACCAGAAGAAGACGGCGCTGGTCGACCGCCTGCTGGAGTTGGCCGAGAGCCGCTCGGACACGCGGGTGGACGTGTCAGACGGCCGCTGCACCGTGGCCATCGTCACGCCGCTGATGGCGCGCGTCCACCAGCTGCCGGAGGCGGGAGAGACAGTATTCGTCGACGCCGGTGGGAACTGCGACCGCTCACAGGCCCGCATATTCCTCTTCATGGCATCCACCGTGGTAGGCGGCCTACCCCTCGGCGTCGTCATCACAAACGACGAGGCGCAGGCCACGCTGGAGAGCGCCTTCTCGCTGCTTCAGTCGATGCTGCCGGAAGGTATGTTCACCCGTCTACACTGACTGTGAGGTACGCTACCTGGCCCTTCCGGACAAGCCACTAAGGGTCACAGGTCCCGCTGTCACCGTCGCCCCAATGACCCTCAGCGGCTCGCTGATAAGGTCGTCCAACCTGTCGCGCAGTCTGCAAAGGATACTCACGAGCTAAGCTATCTCTAGTACACCTCCTTGTAACTTCTTAAGTTTACCTTAGATAATGTTACGTCGGCACATAACGACTTTAACGTAGCGCAATGAAAATGACAAATAAAACCGTACTTCATTTATGTATGTACCGCTACCGTCAGACTGAGTGGTAGGCTACCTGGTCCTTCTCGACAACCCAATAAGGGTCATCCGTCCCGCTGTCACCGTCGCCCCAATGGTCCCGGTCTGCCCGCTGATCAGGTCGTTCAACCTACCGCGGGTCTGACATACGTGGTTGAGAGCTTTTGTGAATGCGATTATTTTCATTGGTTACAACAATTACAACCAACACTTACAAACGTGTAACATTTTTCAATAATAATATAATCGAGGCCTGCAACCGGTTTCACATGGTAATTTCGATGATAACGTTTTACAGACGCTTTCGGTGGCCGTGGCTCAGCAGGGCCGCAGATCCTAATGACTGACGACAGCGCTAGCGAGCGGAACGCACTGCACTCGGTCTGGCCTGACGCGACCAGACTCCTGTGCGTGTTTCACGTGCTGCAGGCCACGTGGAGGTGGCTGTTTAGCCACAAAAACGGCATCAGGCAGCAGGTAAATGCTCACTTATTGTTCAATGCAATGGTCACTTACGGATCACACGTTAGACCAGAGATGCGATGCCGAGGCCGTAGGCGGCACTTCTTGCAAGATTTTGGGGACGCTAAAACATTTTGTTAGGATCCTGAACCGTTAACATGGCTCGGTTTCGGTCCACAATTCTGGATTATCTGTTTTTGGAGTTATCTGTGTTTCGCCAAGCAGAATCCGACCTCTCCCATCACCATGAATGTCTGACTATTCAATTGCCTGCCTGAACAGATTGATCTGTGTTCACAGCATCGACAAGAGCTCATGAGGCTGGCCAAGCAGATGGTGTACGCACCATCGGAGCGTGGCCTCGCGGAGGCCATGGAGACGCTGCAGGGTCGGTGGGGTGCCCTCTACCCGCGGTTCATCGCCTACCAGCAGGCGCTGTTGGATCGGCGGCAGGAGTGGGCCCTGTGCTTCAGGGCTGGCCTCCCGACACGGGGCCACAACACAAATAATACCGTGGAGGCTGCCATGAGGGTTCTCAAGGACAACGTCCTCCACCGGTAAATCTTAAGACATTCTAGCGCAAATTAAGTAAGGCATCTATCCACTATCAGTTATCACCTTCCCCTCTCTCGAAAATAGTTGATTCGGCTCAATGCTAGCGTATGAAACAAACTTAAACTTATCAATCATTTACCTACTTATCTCGTTTGCTGACTGCCCTGTCCCGTCTGTCGCCTTTACCTTGCTATCTGCCGATCGATTGCTAGTCTTCACCGGGGAAGGGGGGGGGGGGGTGCATCACTTCTGTGTCATGAAGGGTATATGGATGTGCTATGCTGTACGTGCGTGCATGCGTTTGTGATTTGTTGTTTGGGGTTTTAGGGCGCGTCAACTGCGAGGTCATTTTGCGCTGTGTGTGTGTGTGGAGGGGGGTCGTACCAAGTCCAAAGTCCTGCATGTGAATTGACGATACATAACCAAGTTTATTGAAAGTCTTTTTCACTCAAGTCATATAACTCAGTCATTTTCCAATAAACTTGAGTTATTTATCATCAATTCACACCCGTCATGGATTCTCTACCTCCTGTATGCACCGTCGAGGGTGGCAAAAAGTCCGTAACGGCGAGGGTGATTTTGTGTCTTTCCCAGGACTCGGCTCTACGACGTCCTCCAGCTCCACGACGTACTCAGCCTCAGACTGAGCGACTTCTACGAGCGAAAGCTCGTAAGCTTCGCCAGTGGACGGCGACCACCGGCTGCCCGTCAGGGAGGCTCCCGAAGCAGCGCTGTGAGCGTCCCACGGGACCGCATCACTCCCGACGGGGTGAGATATCGTCGTGGATGGACTACGTTATGGTCTCACATGTGTCGTCTTGCGCTGCTGCGGTCTCACGACAGCTTTACTGCTACTGCAAAAGTGGAATTGAATACCATCGCTTAACAGGTTATGAAAATGATGCTGTTTTGCCAGCTCTACACTCACACACACACACAATTTTCTCATTCCCTCGGACAAGTGACAGTTCACAGTCCCGGCGTTTTTTTCCACCAGTAGGTACTTAAATCAACACCCTTACATTCTGCGCTAGTCATTCAAATCAAACAGAGTTTTCGCCACAAACAGCTCTGCCTCTGCCTAACGAAAGGACAATGACTGATTGGTGCGTATCGTCGTTTTGTATTCCTGCAGGAGAACCCGGGCATCTACAGCGTGCTGTCCACAGACGGCAGCACCCTGTACACCGTGGACAGCACCCTGGATATGTGCACCTGTCCGGGGTATGTCGGGGGCGGCAGGTGCAAGCACCTTGACGCCGTCAAGGCCCTCGACAGCGGCACGGCCGATAACTCTGCAACTGCAGACACTGCGAGCGTCGAGGACAGGAAGCTCATGTACTTCGTGGCGACAGGTGAGTCAATTGCCTGGCACAGCGAATCGTAATCTCAATAGATCGCATAAATTGATTTCTGTGTTCGTGAGGTCAGTTCGAGGTCTGGCAACTGGCCAGTTACGTGATCTCATCACTGTAAGCAAAAGAGTCATATTGAAACCCCGATTTCCGTCTTAAAAGGGATATCATTGTCATCCATATAAACCCTAGATTACCTACTAAAATACGGAATTGCAGGTCACCGATACGCTTCGAGGCTGGAGTATCGCTAAAATATGGCGTCATTTGTTAAGTTAAAAGTGTCGTCACCCACCTATCGCGAAAGGCATCTCCAGTGTATCTAAAAAATTGATAACATATCCCAATCGAATGACATACAATGTGACCTTTCGGCTTTCAGTCTCCTTAGCCTGACCTGGCACAACATGACTCGATAAAAAATAATAAACACCATGTTATTTTACCATGTACATCTTGTCAAACCAACACACGGTGACGCAGGTACTATTTTTTTTAAATCAAATCAGGGCACGGTCAAAAATGAACCATTTCGATAAACTATTGTTTCTTGCAATGCCTACATTAATAAGCTACAATCACTGGTTTTGTTTCAGGTCGACAAGATATGTCTCCCGACTGGTTTGCGGACCTGAGGACTCCCGGTCCGGAACCTGCGCTGCGCCCAACCACCGTCGCAGAAGACGCTGCCCCGTCCCCAGAGCCCGCCGATGGTGGAGGAGCATCAGACAGCGGCGACGATTTCACCAGTCGTCCGCCAGTGGCACTGGCCAGCTCGTCTAGAGTAACGGCTCCCGACCCACTGGAAGAGGTGCGCCAGTCACTGGCAGCCTTCTCCGAGGCGGTCTCTGCAGCGGTCCTGGAGGACACCGCTGCGCACCCGGACCAGGGACCGTCTTGGCAGAAGGCATTGAACGCTTTCGTCGCCGACTGGAGGAAAGGCGCGACGCCCACAGCTCGGCAGAGCCAGCTGTACGCCCAACGCCACCTGGGAAAGGCGCGCTACGCCACCACCATCCCGGTGCTGCGTCCGGAGCGTCGGACCAGCTGTCCCCTCCGAGGCCGCGCCCGAGTCAGCGCCGGGCGACCTCCCAAGGCAGACCGCGCTGACCACCCCTACCAGCAAGCGGAGGGCCAGCGGCGAGCTGCAGCGCCACACAGCCTGCAGACTCGGATCGAGACCAACCGCGGTCCGGGTCACTAGTTCTGCCACTAGTAGACTCTCACTGGGCGCGAGGAGCGTGACGTCAAGGCCATAAACATACAGGTTAGTCGAGGTTGGCGTCACCATTGCGACACTAGATTTTGGAATATACTATTTTCTTTCTTGGTTCTAAACCAGAAAGTACATCAAAGTTCGTTTTTGAAATGTTTTAGTAGCTGTTACCCGTTAAAAATAACGTGAAAATACGAAATGTTTGTGTTTTATATCATACTTATGCATCACCCACCCCATAAAGTCATCAATAGCATGTTTTATTGTGACCCGAATAAAACACCAGTTTTCCCATAGCATCCCATGCTAGAGCCGGCTCCGCGTCGCAATGCTGACGTCACAGCAGACGATGCCACTGAACTTTCGTGCGTGCGACTTGTCTGTCGGAGCAGCATGTGCGACAATGTGGTCTGGCTGGGGTGACTTCCCACCAGGTGCAGCGGCTCGTGCCCTGGCCGCCGGCTAGTGAACAGAGACCCCTGTGCGGTTCCCACGATATAGCGCTTGGTTTCGTAGATGGGGCTTGTAGGCTAATGATGGGCACGACCGGGTGCTGTATGCTATATGTGGTGACAGCGGCGTTCCTGAGTTTAGGGTGTATCTCTTGCTCTGAAGTCCAGAAGTCCTTATCGTTCTTGTGCATTCACTTGCTCTTCAATGTCCTCCACAGTTGAATCGTTTGACGTTTGGTGAGGCATTCTTGTGCATTCTTGTGCATTCACTTTGTCAGTGCCTGATGTCAGTGTCAGTGTTTGTCAGTGTTTGATTTTGTAGCAGACATGCAGTCATATTTGGTTAAATAGAACCTTGCAGTCTGAGGCAGTCTTTTCATTACAGTGCCTCATTACAGCGTCTCATTCATTACAGTTCAATATTTAGAAATGCAAGACATTACAT